GTCAACATGGAGGCAACATTCATCAACAGAAGTAACCAGACTTGTCAACAGAGGAGGCATCACTCATCAACAGAAGTAACCAGACTTGTCAACAGAGGAGGCAGCAGCTCATCAACAGCAAGTAACCAGACTTGTCAACAGAGGAGGCAACACTCATCAACAGAAGTAACATGACTTGTGTCAACAGAGGAGGCAACACTCATCAACAGAAGTAACATGACTTGTCAACATGGAGGCAACACTCATCAACAGAAGTAACATGACTTGTCAACAGAGGAGGCAACACTCATCTACAGAAGTAACCAGACTTGTCAACAGAGGAGGCAACACTCATCAACAGAAGTAACAAGACTTGTCAACAGAGGAGGCATCACTCATCAACAGAAGTAACCAGACTTGTCAACAGAGGAGGCAACATTCATCAACAGAAGTAACATGACTTGTCAACAGAGGAGGCAACACTCATCTACAGAATTAACCAGACTTGTCAACAGAGGAGGCAACATTCATCAACAGAAGTAACATGACTTGTCAACATGGAGGCAACACTCATCAACAGAAGTAACATGACTTGTCAACAGAGGAGGCAACATTCATCAACAGAAGTCACCAGACTTGTCAACAGAGGAGGTAACATTCATCAACAGAAGTCACCAGACTTGTCAACAGAGGAGGCAACATTCATCAACAGAGGTAACATGACTTGTCAACAGAGGAGGCAACACTCATCAACAGAAGTAACATGACTGGTCAACAGAGGAGGCAACACTCATCAACAGAAGTAACATGACTTGTCAACATGGAGGCAACACTCATCAACAGAAGTAACCAGACTTGTCAACAGAGGAGGCATCATTCATCAACAGAAGTAACATGACTTGTCAACATGGAGGCCACATTCATCAACAGAAGTAACATGACTTGTCAACAGAGGAGGCAACACTCATCAACAGAAGTAACCAGACTTGTCAACAGAGGAGGCAACACTCATCAACAGAAGTAACATGACTTGTCAACAGAGGAGGCAACACTCATCAACAGAAGTAACATGACTGGTCAACAGAGGAGGCAACACTCATCAACAGAAGTAACCAGACTTGTCAACAGAGGAGGCATCATTCATCAACAGAAGTAACATGACTGGTCAACAGAGGAGGCAACACTCATCAACAGAAGTAACATGACTTGTCAACATGGAGGCAACACTCATCAACAGAAGTAACCAGACTTGTCAACAGAGGAGGCATCATTCATCAACAGAAGTAACATGACTTGTCAACATGGAGGCCACATTCATCAACAGAAGTAACATGACTTGTCAACAGAGGAGGCAACACTCATCAACAGAAGTAACATGACTGGTCAACAGAGGAGGCAACACTCATCAACAGAAGTAACCAGACTTGTCAACAGAGGAGGCATCATTCATCAACAGAAGTAAAATGACTTGTCAACATGGAGGCAACATTCATCAACAGAAGTAACATGACTTGTCAACAAAGGAGGCAACACTCATCAACAGAAGTAACATGACTTGTCAACAGAGGAGGCAACACTCATCAACAGAAGTAACATGACTTGTCAACAGAGGAGGCAACACTCATCAACAGAAGTAACATGACTTGTCAACAGAGGAGGCAACACTCATCAACAGAAGTAACATGACTGGTCAACAGAGGAGGCAACACTCATCAACAGAAGTAACATGACTTGTCAACAAAGGAGGCAACACTCATCAACAGAAGTAACATGACTTGTCAACAGAGGAGGCAACACTCATCAACAGAATTAACCAGACTTGTCAACAGAGGAGGCAACACTCATCAACAGAAGTGGCAAGACAAGTTGAGAGAAACAGCAACACTTGATACAAGTAACAAAATTTATTGACAGAAGTACAACTTCTTTCCCACAATAGCCTGTATTTATATTTTCACAAATGACACATTTGGGTGCTTTCTTGCTTATTAAAATACACTCTTGTTTTCAATATATCATCATACACTCACATCAATGTAATACATCTGTCAAGTGATGTATAAAGTTATGATGTGTCCTTGAGATTATCAGTGTTTGAACAGTATTCATGCATCAATAGATTATTATCTATTGCTTCATATTTGTGATCTGGTGGAAATCTGTTGAATTACAACACCCATAAGGCAAATGTTAGCTGCCATGGTGACAGGGTTCAGACATCCTTGATCACCATCACCTGGTGGTGCCACCGGAATAATGTTCCTGAACATTCCCCATCATTTATATCATAATCACAAGGATCCTAATCAATTTGCACTTTAGCTGCTGATATTCTCATCCATCCTCACTGGCAACATTATGTAGTGACAATACCAGGGTCCTTCAGGGTTATATCTTTTTAATCCAGGGTCACCTGAGAAATTGTTGACCTCAAGCGTCCACACACTCCAATGTTATGATACATGACATTTTCACTCACCCTTCTGACTGTCAGGTCACTGCACACAACACACAATAGCATATATCAGTCCTTTATAATTAGTAAACTCAAACATATAAGTCTTTGGCAACTAGCCCATTCAATCATCAGTCTTTGCCAACTACTCTTTTCAATCATCAGTCTTTGGCAACTAGTCAACTCAAACATCAGTCTTTGGCAACTACTCCTTTCAATCATCAGTCTTAGTGAGCTCGTCAACTCCATCATCAGTCTTTACCAACCAGTAAAATTCATACATCAGTCCTTGCCAACTAGTCAATTCAAACATACTTCTTTGCTAACAAGTCCACTCAAAACTCAACATTACAATAAAATGAAATGCACAAACATACTATTTTCAAACTGTAATCAAAAACAATGAAACTATGAAACAAACAGATACTGGTTTTAGAAATTTGGATTTCATGGCCCACTGTAAACCTTCACTGATACAGTGACTAAGGTGGTCCGCTGTTAATTATCCATCACCATCAGGTAGTACACACGAGGCCCTCATCACAAGACCCTCATCCACGAGGCCCTCATCCACGGGACCCTCATCACAAGACCCTTATCCGCGAGGCCCTCATCCACGAGGCCCTCATCACAACACCCTCATCCACGAGGCCCGAGACCCTCATCAGGAGGCCCTCATCACAAGACCCTCATCCACAGGCCCTCATCAGGAGGCCCTCATCACAAGACCCTCATCACGAGATCCTCATCACAAGACCCTCATCACAAGACCCTGCGTCACAAGACCCTCATCACAAGACCCTCATCACAAGCCCCCTCATCACACGTCCCTCATCACAAGACCCTCATAGCGAGACCTGCATCTCAGGAAGAACAATGATTTGTGAGGAAGGTACCCCACACTGGGGCAGAGTCCACTGTCCTGATCAGCCTCCCTGATCCATGGTCATCCTTTCACGGTGAGGATTGGCAATATAAAGTTACTTATGAACACTGTCAAATTTTCTCAAAAGGATACATTTGAATGTTATTCTCCCCTTGTTTGCTTGAATCTGCAAAACACAGACACATCTGGTTGTCATCAACCTTCCCCATGAGGTAGGCAGGGGCACAGCCATTTGGGGTATACTAGTAACCAACCTTATATTTGGTTGGCATACACACGAGGAGACAATACACAACTATACTTGGTGGTGGTTCCCCTTCTCCTGAAAGGCAATATGCTGCTGCTACACCGTGTATCAGCTCTGGTACATTCCCTTCTTGACAAACACAGGCAATGTACAGCTACACCTACGCGTGTGTATCAGCTCTGGTACATTCCCTTCTTGACAAACACAGGCAACATGCAGCTACTACACCGTGTATCAGCTCTGAGTGCGTTCCTTCTTGACAAAGACAGGCAACATACAGCTACTACACACGTGTATCAGCTCTGGTACGTTCCCTTCTTGACAAACACAGGCAATATACAGCTACTACACGTGTGTATCAGCTCTGGTACATTCCCTTCTTGACAAACACAGGCAATATACTGCTACTGCACGTGTGTATCAGCTCTGATACGTTCCCTTCTTGACAAAGACAGGCAACATACAGCTACTACACGTGTGTTTCAGCTCTGAGCACGTTCCTTCTTGACAAAGACAGGCAATATACAGCTACTACACGCGTGTGTTTCAGCTCTGATGCGCGTTCCCTTCTTGACAAAGACAGGCAATGTACAGCTACTACACGTGTGTATCAGCTCTGGTACATTCCCTTCTTGACAAACACAGGCAATATACTGCTACTACATGTGTGTTTCAGCTCTGGTACATTCCCTTCTTGACAAAGACAGGCAACATACAGCTACTACACATGTGTTTCAGCTCTGGTACGTTCCTTCTTGACAAAGACAGGCAATATACAGCTACTACACGTGTGTATCAGCTCTGGTACATTCCTTCTTGACAAAGACAGGCAATATACTGCTACTACATGTGTGTTTCAGCTCTGGTACGTTCCCTTCTTGACAAAGACAGGCAATATACAGCTACTACACGTGTGTATCAGCTCTGGTACATTCCCTTCTTGACAAACACAGGCAATATACTGCTACTACATGTGTGTTTCAGCTCTGGTACATTCCCTTCTTGACAAAGACAGGCAATATACTGCTACTACATGTGTGTTTCAGCTCTGGTACGTTCCCTTCTTGACAAAGACAGGCAATATACAGCTACTACACGTGTGTATCAGCTCTGGTACATTCCCTTCTTGACAAACACAGGCAATATACTGCTACTACATGTGTGTTTCAGCTCTGGTACGTTCCCTTCTTGACAAAGACAGGCAATATACAGCTACTACTCTGCGTGTGTATCAGCTCTGGTACATTCCTTCTTGACAAACACAGGCAACATACAGCTACTACGTATCGTGTGTATCAGCTCTGGTACATTCCTTCTTGACAAAGACACAGGCAATGTACAGCTACTACTTCCCTTCTTGACGTGTATCAGCTCTGGTACATTCCTTCTTGACAAAGACAGGCAATATACTGCTACTACATGTGTGTTTCAGCTCAAGTACATTCCCTTCTTGACAAACACAGGCAACATACAGCTACTACGCGTGTATCAGCTCTGAATGCGTTCCCTTCTTGTCTTTTTTGAGGTCGCTTCCAAATGGAGTAGAGTTTGATGCGCACCTCGCCCCACAGCACAAGACTGATGACTGTATGGGGCCCGAGTCGAAAGTAGCTTGCCCCCCAGCCTTTGTAGAACCCCCAGATACCCTCCTTCCTGAGAATCTTCACGAGGCAATCAGACACGCCAGAGTACAGCAAGCCCTTTCCACGTGCATCCACACCTTGGTTATAGAGTCGGTCGTCCGACATCGAGCGGTGTCATGAAGCAGGTGACAATTATACCGCTGGCCATGCTGGCCACGAGAGCATTCATCCAGCTGTCTTTAGGAAACCACTGAAATGTTGATTACAAATGTGTTAATCAGTTGAGGAAGTGAAGCGCTCAGCAATGGTTATATTACTTTTAAACAATAATATTCAGATAATATTCAGATTCAGTTATACATATATATATATCCAGCTGGGTGAACACTGAAACTACTTCACAGAGTTCCTGCCCTTTGAATAGAATTAAAGTAGTACACTAGGGTAAGACATTGGGGAGACATAACATAAGCATATCACATATTAAAGGTGTACTACATGGTGCATGACAGACATATCTATTCATGACCAGGGCCACAAGTAGTAATGTATTGCAGTGTAGGAAATGGATATATAACATGTGTGTGACAGTGTATATGACATGGATATATCACAGGTGTGTCACATTGTGTATGACATGGATATATAATGTGTGTATGACATGGTTAAATAACATAGGTGTGTCACATTGTATTACATGGATATATAACATGTGTGTGACAGTGTATATGACATGGATATATAACAGGTCAGTGTTTACGAATAGTGTTTCAAAGTAACAGGACATTGGGTCCTGTAAGTTTCAGATGTCTGTCTGACCCATTGAAGGTTCACAGGACCCATGGAATAACATTAAACACACATTTCAGATTTAACATAATTGGCATTGAAATTATTAACAGGCATAAGATTTATAAACAGCAAACAAGTGTCATATGTCACATATAACAACTTCAGTCAAAGTCAATGTGAAATATACAGTCAAACACTGGGGCCGGCAGGTTGTAGACTTCTATCGGACCGTTGTCGAATCTGCCGGATTTGTCAGACGGTCAGACACTATTCGTGAACACTGCAGGTGTGTCACATTGTGTATGACATGGATATATAATGTGTGTATGACATGGTTAAATAACATAAGTGTGTCACATTGTATAACATGGGTCTATAACACAGGTGTATGACATGGATATATAACATAGGTGTGTGACATTGTGTATGACATGGATGTATAACAGGTGTGTGACATGGATATATAACATAGGTGTCACATTGTGTATGACATGGATATATAACATAGGTGTGTGACATTGTGTATGACATGGATGTATAACAGGTGTGTGACATGGATATATAACATAGGTGTCACATTGTGTATGTCATGGATATATAACAGGTGTGTGACATTGTGTATGACATGGATATATAACAGGTGTGTGACATTGTGTATGACATGGATATATAACATACTGTGTGACACTGTGTGTGACATGGATATATAACATAGTTGTGTGACATTGTGCATGACATTGATATATAACATAGGTGTCACACTGTGTATGACATGGATATATAACAGGTGTGTGACATTGTGTATGACATAGGTGTGTGACAATGTGTATGACATGGATAAATAACATAGGTGTTTGACACTGTGTGTGACATGGATATATAACAGGTGTGTCACATTGTGTATGACATACATACAGGTGTATGGTATGGGTGTATAGGTGTACCACATTTTTATCATACACCATGTCAGATCCCCGCTGTGGTGTAGTGGATACACCTTCATAGACTCTTCTGTGGTCACGCCTACTGTTTTATATATTTGGCTCTACCCACTACACCACAGCAGGGATCTGACATGGTGTATGAGGTTGGTGTATGATAAAAATGTGTTTCATTGGCTCTACCCACTACACCACAGCGGAAATCTGACATGGTGTATGATAAAGATGTGTTATATCATTGGGTCTACCCACTACACCACAGCGGAGATCTGACATGGTGTATGATAAAGATGTGTTATATCACTGGGTCTACCCACCACACCACAGCGGGGATCTGACATGGTGTATGATAAAGATGAGTTATATCACTGGGTCTACCCACTACACCACAGCGGGGATCTGACATGGTGTATGATAAAGATGTGTTATATCACTGGGTCTACCCACCACATCACAGCGGGGATCTGACATGGTGTATGATAAAGATGTTATATCACTGGGTCTACCCACTACACCACAGCGGGGATCTGACATGGTGTATGATAAAGATGTGTTATATCACTGGGTCTACCCACCACACCACAGCGGGGATCTGACATGGTGTATGATAAAGATGTTATATCACTGGCTCTACCCAATACACTGCAGCAGGGAACTGACATGGTGTATGATGTTGGTGTATGACAAAGATGTTATATCACTGGCTCTACCCACTACACTGCAGCAGGGACCTGACATGGTGTATGATGTTGGTGTATGGCACAGATACACATTGGTCCACACTGATCAGAATCAGGTGGTCATTATGTGTGACTAGTTGAGTACTGTGTGTGAAATTTACACTGGTCCTGTGGTCCCTGGGTAGTAAAAATTCATCAGGACCACTAAATAATAAGTTTGCAGTAGTCCTGGTGGCCACTGAGTTTTGTATTGATAGTTAAATAAATCTATGAATGTTATTTTGGACCAGTGAAGTACAGACAGGACCACTAATTATTGTCCACTCACTGGTACTGTGGTCTAGTGGGATATTTTGAAAGGTTTCTTTCCCTGTGAGTACTGGATCTGGAATATACTTTCACTTTCAGGCAACAAAGAAAAGCAATGAACACGTCACAATTTAATTCTGGACTCACAAAAGTCCAGAAACTCTCCGCCCTGTGGCCGCTTTCTGACAAAGGATCTGACAAAATTAAATATGCAGTTGTCATGAATATATGCTAAGGATGAAAAAATGAAAAAATATTTTCTCGAAAACTCAAAATTTAAACTACCTCGCCCATGGGCGGGCCATGGGCGAACAATCAATTGCCCATGGCCGCCCATGGCGAGAATGTTTAATTTCAGCTCAGACTTCATGTTTTGGAGGTTGAAAATGAATGAAAGCATGTTTAGAAGTATCACCACACAAAATTAACTCATTGTGACTTAATTCGACTAGTTTAGACCGATATTTAAATATCTCACCATGGGCGAAAAACATTTGGCCCATGGGCGAGATTTTCTACTTTTGCTCAAAATCATGCTTTTTCAAGTTTAAAGGTTGTAAAATGAATGAAAGCACGCTTATAAGTATCACCACACAAAAATTTAACTCATTGTGACTTAATTCGCCACTTTAGACCGATATTAAATATCTTTTACCATGGATGAGAAAACATGGCCCATGGCCAGATTTTCTATGTTTGCTCAAAATCATGGGTTTTTCAAGTTTGAAGGTTGTAAAATGAATGAAAGCACGTTTATAAGTATCACCACACAAAATTTAACTCATTGTGACTTAATTCACTAATTTAGACCGATATTAAAAGATCTGCCCATGGAAAAACATTGGCCCATGGGCTGAGATTTTCTACTTTGCTCCAAAATCATGCTTTTTCAAGTTTGAAGGTTGTAAATGAATGAAAGCATGTTTAGAAGTATCACCACACAAAATTTAACTCATTGTGACTTAATTCGACTAATTTAGACCGATATTAAAATACCTAAGCCCGCCTATGGGCTTAAAGAAAGTTTGGCCCATGGAAGTGAGATTTTCTACTTTTGCTCAAAAATCATGCTTTTTCAAGTTTAAAGGTTGTAAATGAATGAAAACACGTTTATAAGTATCACCACACAAAATTTAACTCATTGTGACTTAATTCCGCTAATTTAGGACCGATATTAAAATATCTCAACCATGGTGAGAAAACATTTGGCCCATGGTGAGATTTCCTACTTTGCTCAAAATCATGCTTTTCAAGTTTGAAGGTTGTAAATGAATGAAAGCATGTTTATAAGTATCACCACACAAAATTTAACTCATTGTGGCTTAATTAGGCTAATTTAGACCATTATTAAAATATCTAAGCCCATGGTAGAGAAAACATTTTGCCCATGGGCTGAGATTTTCTACTTTTGCTCAAAATCATGCTTTTTCAAGTTTGAAGGTTGTAAATGAATGAAAGCATGTTTATAAGTATCACCACACAAAATTTAATTCATTGTGACTTAATTAGACTAATTTAGACCGATATTAAAATACTCTTCATGCTTAAAGAAAGTTTGGCCCATGGGCTAGAGATTTTCTACTTTTTGCTCAAAATCATGCTTTTTCAAGTTTGAAGGTTGAAAATGAATGAAAGCACGCTTATAAGTATCACCACACAAAATTTAACTCATTGTGACTTAATTCTCACTAATTTAGACCGATATTAAAGATCTCACCCATGGGCGTAGAAAACATTTGGCCCATGGGCGAGAGTTTCTACTTTTGCTCAAAATCATGGGTTTTTCAAGTTTAGAGATTGTAAATGAATGAAAGCACGTTTATAAGTATCACCACACAAAATTTAACTCATTGTGACTTAATTCGGCTAATTTAGACCGATATTAAAATATCTCACCCATGGGCGAAAGAAAGTTTGGCCCATGGGCTAGATTTTCTATGTTTGCTCAAAATCATGGGTTTTTCAAGTTTAGAGATTGTAAATGAATGAAAGCACGTTTATAAGTATCACCACACAAAATTTAACTCATTGTGACTTAATTAGCCAATTTAGACCGATATTAAAATATCTAAGCCATGGGCTTAGAAAACATTTGGCCCATGGGCGAGATTTTCTACTTTTGCTCAAAATCATGCTTTTTTTCAAGTTTAAAAGGTTGTAAATGAATGAAAGCACGTTTATAAGTATCACCACACAAAATTTAACTCATTGTGACTTAATTGGCTAATTTAGACCGATATTAAAAGATCTCACCATGCATGGTAGAAAACATTTGGCCCATGGTGAGATTTTCTACTTTGCTCAAAATCATGCTTTTTCAAGTTTGAAGGTTGAAAATGAATGAAAGCTGCGCTTATAAGTATCACCACACAAAATTTAACTCATTGTGACTTAATTCGACTAATTTAGACCGATATTAAAATATCTTGCCCATGGGCTAGAAAAACATTTGGCCCATGGGCTTAGAGTTTCTACTTTTGCTCAAAATCATGCTTTTTTCAAGTTTAGAAGTTGTAAATGAATGAAAG